TACTAATGGTAGCCATGCTGGAGATGAAGACAACTGACCAGCATGGAGAGGATTACAGCTACTGATAGCACTACTAGGTTTTGTAGGTTTGAAAAAACCCCTATCATCCCATGAAAAAAAAAAAGAGTTCATTGCTTTGTTATGTTATCACCATTGATTTTGTCAGACAAGACCAGTATCTCATGCCAGAAAAACTGTAATAAATTTAATATCTAACATCTTTCAGTAACGAAAGTTCTAAAAAACTATCGTAAGATGTTAAATAACTATCTTCATTTTCCATATAGTAGGATAACACATAACATAGGATTGATAGGAATGACATCGTGAATTCTGCTTAGCATGCACCAGGAGACTGTAATTGATATATCGAAAGGATATGTGTGAAATCAGTTGAAAAAAGTGTGAATGGTCTATCAGAGCAATCAAAAAAAAAAAATCAATCCAGATCTTGAAGAAAACAAAAATTAAATGAATATGTAATGTGAACCTTAGGTAGTGTCTAGGCACTTAAATTCACCGTTATAATTCTGAAAAGCCTTATTCAGGTGCCACATGTCCCTAAAGTTGCATAAGCCAACTAGATGCTGCCATTGTAGCCATCAAAGAACTTTACGTGCCTATGGCTTAACTTCTCCCTGTGCAGAGAAATGATTCCTTTTCTGCTAGGGCTGAAAATCTTGAGCTTCAGAGACAAGGAGTTTGCCTGTTTGCCTGGGGAGGCTTAATCCTATGGGGGATTGCCAGGACCATGTATGCTAACTAGATCTGGTGCCCTGCAGATGATGTTCCTTCTCCAGGGACTTGGTGGCTGATGTGGATCCCATGTTTTCTGTTCCTCACGCTGACGCCTCGTATTAGGTTTTGGATTCCACTTGGAAGCATGCAACTCAGGTTTTGCAACACTAAATTTTTATTAATCTCAATCCTGTATTCATCTGCCTTAAGTGGGAAGCCCACAGCAGTAACAGATACATTCATTCAGAAAACTGTCTGCAGAAGAATCTTAATTCTGGCAAAAATATTTCTATTTAGAGTATATACATATATACACATCTGTCTCTGTGTGTGAGCATTTTAGATAATAAATCACCTATTTATCTACAGTACCTACGTGACACCTATTAAATTCATATTAGAGATAAGGAACTGAAATGAAGGCATAATCACTAAACCTCATTGAATAAAATCTTTCCAACGTAGTAATCTTTCCAACCTGTTGCAGAGAAAAATCAAAGACCTGAACTCAAGCCTTCCAAACCAGAGACAGATGTTGCAGCTTTTGGAACTTGGTGGAATTTTCTTTTGTGAAATATCAGTGGGGTGTTTTTTGTAACTTCACTTGGACAGATGCACCGTCTATACAGATGCACTGTCTGTACAGCTTTCTCCAGCTGAAAAGATCTGGAAAGACTAGTCAGTATTTCAATATTTCCTATGCTATGACAATCAGCCACCATTGCACTGAACTCTGTGGTAGACAAATTTCTTTTTTCCATGCCTTCTGTCTGAGACATCTCAACAAAACTAGTTCAATTAAACGAAAGGTTTATCACATCAACTAAGAGAATCACCTGTTATAATTCTTAACAGATTTTTTGGGTTAGGTGGGTTTTTTTTTTTTTTGTTTCAGTGGCTGAAGCCCTGGCATAAGTTTGTATGGCCATGTGGGTTGAATTCTGTAAATAAGGTGATTAAGTGTTTCAGTTATTGGCACTTCTACCACCTTACTCACATGAAGCACAATTTTACTTGCAGACAATCTGTTGAGCCACGTCTGTTGATATTCCAGAAAATCAATAGAACTATTTGCGGTGCTAAGTAATTTAAGTGTGGCTGAACCTGACTTCATAGAAGCATTTGGGCACATTTTAGAAGTGCATATTTCATACAAAATACTACAACATGACTTGCCAGTAATATACTAGACAAAGTCCTTGAAAAACCTGCTTTCCAAATCCTAAGAAACAAAATTAGCGTTATGTCAGAGGTCTTGTGGCCTTCCATTTATCATTTATAAATTCTCTGATATAAGCTATATGGACAGTAATTATCCAGCTTCAACCTGGCCAGCAGAATTCTGAGATTCTATAATGCTCTGAATTATCTTCTAATATTCTGTTCATATCTAAATTGTTCTAATATTATGGTCATATCTAAAGTTATTTATAGGGGAAATTGAAGGTAAGGAGCAAGCACTTTGCCTAAGAAACAGTACTGTAAAATTTTTTTCCTATGCACATTACAGACATTAATTAAAATGGCATCATCCAGGAGAAGTAGTAGTGAGCTTGTTATAATTTATTCCATGTGATTTTTAAAATAACATCAGCATTAGGAGCCCACAGAACCTCTTGGGTACTGATTCCTCCTGAAACTTGTAGGTAAATCCCCAAGAAATTTCATTGGTAACCCCTTACTACCCAGAACAGTTAGGTATTTAGACCATTTCATCTTTCTTACCAAGATGACTGAGAGGTGGTCAGTGTTGCACCAAGGATATAATCATCATGGCAGTGTGGGAATGTGTCCTAATTACCTTTTTCCTTGCTGTCATCAAGTTGGTTTATTTCTGGCATTATTGAGTGCTCTTTTTAACTGTACTGCACACCCATGCCCTTCATGCTAATAATCGCCATTTTTGAAGAACAGGCAGAAAAGACAGAGATACGTTAGCCTCATTTTCACAACAACCTGAAGAAGGGAAACTTTTAGGAGCTCAGTACTGACCAGGCAGAGTAATTAGCCTGAAGTAACCAAAGAATCAGCTACAATTGAAATGTTATTGAAGGAAAGAGATTTTCTACTTCTCTTCAGGACTATTAACATACAGAAGAGCTCCAAAAACACTGAAAACACCTTATTGTTGTTTATAGATGGTTTTTAAGTAGAGTTGTTAAGAATACAGATTTGTAGATACTATGGCAGTAAAGGCTGAATAAAGAGAAGATTGATTGGAAATCGTAGATAACTTTAGACAGCTGGATTAGGTAGAAATCACCCTGATGTACAGTAAAGCAAGCAACAAGAATTAGGGTTTTGAAATAGTGTGAAGTATGTCTTGCATGCTAGCATTTTCTTCCCAGGAATAAACTGTCTTAAAATCCCTCTATAAATGACTGTTCATTAGTCTATCAATGTGTATAATGGCTCTCAAAATCATAATAAGAATTAATAATAGTTCAAATAGCAGAAAGGGACATTAATTTCTCGCTCATAAATATTAATGTTTTAGTAGACAATCTCTTCCTAACACGCTTTCAAACTCTCAATTCGCAAGTCTATTAGCAGTTACCTGTTATTCTAACTACCAGAAACCTCCCCACTGGGCCACCAAAAGGTTTTGCATCACCCTGCCTTGGACACTAGCAGAGAGGATGAGAGCAGAAGACCGCGTAACAATGAGATCATGTTGTCCTGCTAATGTTCTTCAGGATACAACAGTGTTTGCTCAGCCAAAGTGTACACCACAGGGCAACGAAAAGTGCTAATAAGGGGAGGAAAGACTATATTTAGGCCCAAAAGACCAGTATGGTGGTGGATTATCATGAAGAGAAAGTGATAGTGACAAAGGACAGGTATAAAACACTTGACTGCAGCATAAAGTGCATAAGAAGAGACACGAACGGCATGCCAGGCGGTGCCCTGTGAAGTGACAGTATCTGCTTAAGGCATTAAAGTCCTTTCCAAGAGGACATAGATGGTGGATAGAAAACCACCAGTAGGACATGTTCAAGTGCTGGTGCCTCAATAAGCATTTTATCCCAGTGTACCAAAACTGAAGCTGAACAATAAGAGATTATTGGTTTTCCCCTTTAAGTGCTGCAGAGACTGTGTGACAGGAGCTTAAACTCAAGAGGTGATGTTCTCCATCTACTTTCTTTTGAAAGGAGAAAAAAGCGAGCTTCCAAGAGTAAACTTTCAGGTAATGTATCTCTTTTATGTCGTGTGTTTAACTGGTCTGCATCTCTAAATAACTGAGAAGGGAAGGATCTTGTGAGATGTATTTAACCTCATTATATCTGATGCTGGGTCTTGAAAAGCTTTAGCTGAACTAAAGACTCTTATGAATATAAAATCAAAGTGAGCTGTACATTAAGGGTTTCATGCTCTCCGACAGCTGCGCATGTGCACACACAACTCTCATTAACAGTAATGGCAAATCTGCATGCCCGTCATTCAGAAAACAGATCTCTAACTTTATTGGGTTTGGGGTTTGTTGGTGTTTTTTTTTTTTTTTCTTAGAGACTTTTCTCTATTGGACCTTTAATTAATCTCCTACTAGGCTTTTTCCCTTTAAGCTATCCCTCTCCCCTCCCTTTTCCAATGGGAGTAAGCCCCCAGATCGCTCTTTTTTTAGTCAAGGTTTTCCAAGCCGATACAGTTTTACAAAATGCACCTGCATATGTTAAATGCAGAGAGGGTTTGCAGCACACAAGCCACAGAGACATGTAACAGAATAAATGCCTTGGACTTTGAAAAGACTTTTGATGCCTGCCAACTTAAAAAAATATTAAGCAAAGGTAGATATGAAAATGAGAACATGAATGTTTTTTGCATTCTTTTTGTGATCACTGCAAGGCAAGAGTCTGAAACCTTGTGTAACAAAACACATGCATTTCATTCTGATTAACATAAAGACAGCCCCTTCTAACATGATTCACAATTATTAGTCTCTCTTGTGTTTGGGGATATATGGATTATCACCCTGGCATATTTTGAATACATACACATTTTAATTCCTTTCCTAAACCATTTTAGGCGCTACAGTTAAATTGCATATACAAAATTTATAGATCAATAATTTGATATTTTTTCTCCAGTTAAATAACTGCATGCTGTAGGACATAAAAGGCAGTCAAAAACAATAAAAAGAAAGGATCACGGATAATGGAAGGTAAGTCAGATTTGAGATGCCTCTGTTCTTCTATTTTTAAGTTTACTATTATTTTTATATAACAGGCTATTTCACTAGCTTCTACTGTATCTGAAGTACTTAC